CGAATCGAGCTAATCGCCCAATCACCAGCAGGCCCCTTGACACCCGAGGTTATTAAGGTTAACCGAGCACCTCAGAACTGCAAAACAAGGACGTCCAGCTACAAAGAGCTGCTTTCGGGACAAATAACAGCACGCCGAGCGCTGCAAACCACTGCAAGGATAGAGTTTTAAGTGCTTCTAAATGCAGACAGAAAGAACAATGGGAAAGAGGACAGAAGGTACGTACAGAGTAGAAGCAGAGTCTGTAAGCAGGTTCCTCATCCATTCCCGGTCCTGACATGCTACCGAATTTGCTCATGGCAACCTGTTCACCCCCCTGAACCAGGATCTCTACTGCACCAACTGCCTGACATCGTCATTTGACATCTGGACCAAAAATAGCATGGTTGAGCATGGCTCCGGAGGACTCGGGTAGATGCCTCTGTCAATCAGCAGGACAGTCCTTCTTCTGGCAATCGGGACAGTCTTTCTTTGAACCCGCGAAGTCTCGACTGCACAGCGACTCTACGGTGTTGCCGTTTTAGTTGTGGTGTGTGTGTTCACCCTCCACGGCTAGGAGAGCTCCTCTCTATCTGTGCAGTCATGTGCACATGGCAGGCCGCCCACTCGTCCAGCATGTGCTGGAGGCGGCAGGGCTGTGTGTGTGTGTGTGTGTGTGTCAACGCGTGTGCATTAGACACCGCAGACTCAACGTCCGATTGGAGCTTGGCGGTGAGTAACTCACTCAGGGGTTATAGATGTAAATAGAGATGCGCCTACGAGATGTGGAACAGACACAGCCGCGAGAACGACGGCGGTTTGGTCGGAAGATTTAGGTCGGTATGTATTGAAATACTTACATTTTTCTACTTATTAAATGATTAAGTTACACTATTTTAAAGTGTCATTGTTACAGTATAATAATATATTACTATTAATATATTACTTACTATAGGGCTAGGGTAGGATTAGGATTTGGTTGAGGGTTAGTTGCATGTAATTATGCATAATTTACTTTTATTTATGGTAAGTACATTAGAGCCAGACCGATTTATCGGCAGGCCGATGTTATCGGCCGATATTAGGCATTTTCAAAACTATCGGTATCGGCAGTTATAATGGCCGATAAATGAATATTTCAAAAATAAAATAAAAACGGACGAAACACGCTTCAACCATGTCATGAGTGTTGGAGTTGTTTCGTTTGTCCACCAGAGGGCACTCTACACCGTCCCTGTTGGCAACAATCTTGTATAACGCACCACACCACAGACGTAGCTTTTAAGGCAATGTAGGGACTAATTGTTGTTTTATTTATCAGAACTTTAATATATTTTGATGTTCCTCTGTTCTGTTGTGACAATAAAAGAAACTAGTTTCTTTTTAAAATGCATTATCGTATTATTTTAGTTAAAACTCATAAATAACCACAAATAACTAATGTTAGGGAAATCTGTTAATGTTTTGTTGCGCGTTTCTAAAAAAAAAAAATTAAAATAAATATCGGCCGATATATCGGAATATCGGATTTTAAAACCAACAAATATTTGTATCGGTATCGGCCTTCAAAATCTTTTATCGGCCGGGCTCTAAAGTACTAAGTGCAAAATAAAGTGTTACCAATGATTTAAATATATAGGCTTTGTTTAGATAGGTATGCATGTATGTGTGTACAATTTTTTTTTTAAAGATTTTTATAACAAATTTTTAAATCATATATGCATTAATGCTTTGAATAAATAAACTGCTCCGCCTTTGAACTGGAAATTAAATGAGTAATATGAAGAACACTGTTGCTTTATAAAAAAAAACATACTCGGGTAGTTTGCTCACAAACATTAAACATTATATAAAACTGTTATTTACTGGGGGTATAGCAGTTCAAATTCGCTTCGGTTTTAACGCGGTTCAAGGATTAGCCTACCGTTTCGATACGGTTCGGTATGTTCGGAGAAAAAAGGACTACTGTCTAATAAAAACAAAGAAAATAAAAACACATAATCAAACAGCACAAATAAATACAATAGAGCAAAGATACAAATAAAATAAACAGTGCTTTTCAGGTATCTAACAACATTACATACATTAGCCGAACTCTGTCTGTTTTATGCGTTATTTTTAAATAAAACATATTATAGATGCGTCGTCATATTTTGTTAATATTGAAATTTTGCTCTCAGGGTCCCCCTACAGTTGGGAAACAGTATTGTCTTCTACTACTGTCGTAAAATCTGTCATGGTTACACTAGGCCTAAAGCTTCTTTATTGGCTATTCTACATGTGTGAAAGGACAAATATCAGATTCATGTCTACTACCACATCTCTATCTAAATAAGCAAAAACAGACAAACCGGTTCCACAGAAAATATCAGCCCTCTTTCCCTCTACATTTAAATTGTGTAAAAACGAAATTATAAATTAAAAAACTGCAGCCTGAGCTCAAGTTCTGTCTCAGTCTTATGTTCATTTATTTATTTTAATTGTTATGCAACTTTATAATAAGCAGAATAAAATAGAGAAGGTCATAAATTACAGAATAAACACAGACAGGTAGATCAGGTCTTCAACCTGAAGGGTGTTCCCGGAGCCTCTGTGCTCTCTTTGCTTTCCAAAAACATTTAAACTCAAAGCAATTTTTTCATGTCTTTGTGTTTATATATTTGTAAAGTAGCCATGCAACTGAAATCAGTCAGGCGTCATTATGCCAAAAAAAAAGAATGTTGCAGAACCAGTCATCTACACTAGCTCTTACATATGTTATGTTGAACCTCATCACATACTGTTTAGCTGATATGCTAATGTTATGTTCCATTGTTCTACTGTATGTAATGTTTTGTTGTTTGGATGATGTTATGTTGCAAATGTTGTGTGGTGTTACTGTTATGCTACTTGTTATATTCTGCTGTCATGTTAATGTTATGTACTGTCATGTTGCGTTGTTATGTCAAGTAAATGGTATGTTGCATTGTATTACGGTTATGTAGACATGTTATTGTCTTGTTAATGTTATGTTGTGTCATGTAATATAAATGTTGCGATGCCGTTATCTTGTGTTGCATTGTATTACTGCTATGTAACCATGTTATTGTCATTTTAATAGAATGTTTTGTTGCGTTACTGTCATGTCATGTCATATAATTGTTACTGTATGTTGCATTACTGTTATGTCATGTAAATGGTGTGTGGCAGTGTATTACTGTCATGTAGCTAGTCATTTTTGTCATGATCATGTTAGGTACTTTTATGTCAATGTTATGTTGCGTTGTGTTACTTTTATGTGTTGTATATCTGGGAAACAGTGATTTTAAAATCCATAATGGGTCTGAAAAGAGCAAAGTCAATAATAACTAACGTTATACTATCTCAAGAAGCCACACGAGTAGAGTAACGTTAGCTCGTACATACACTCACAACCTTAAGATCACTGCTACCCAGACAACAAGACAACATTTTTCACTAAAATACCGTACAGTTCTTTAATCCTATCCTAAACAAGTAAATATATGACATGAATGACAGCAGTCATCAAAATTTTACAACAGTGTTGTATTGTAGCAACTATGCTATTTTGATGGGAAAGTGTTGTTACCATAGTAACTGACATAACTGACAGCTGCCTACCCAGACAGCAGTTCGTGCTTCAGATGCGCGTTCACCGCGTGCACAATGCACTTACGTTGTCTATGTAGGCAGCAGGTCAGTGTGTTTTGAGCCAGCCGTTGTTTGTTACCTTCAGGGCGATGTTAATGGGCGTATTCCTGCCTTTCCCTCCTCCATGAGATGATCCAGAGCTGTTACTGGCCGACCTGTCTCTGCCGTCCCCGCTCTGAGCCGCTCTCATCCCGAACCGGTGCTGCTGAGCCGCGCCGCGCCGGCGCCCATCGTGCCGGCCGTCCTTCGACATGAGCCCGCGGTCAAACGAGCGACTTTCACCGGACAAGAACTTCGCAACCAGAGGTCTAGAAATCAAACAGGCCTCCTCTTCTTTTACATTGAACACTCACGGGTCATGTGGAGCGCGAGAGGGAATGTGACGCCGCCCGCTGGACTGGAGGAAGGCACTGCGCATACCTCCAACGGTAACCAACCGTAACCAACACAGAGTTCCCGTCAAAGCCTATGGTCAAAGCACATACCATGGTTACAGATGATTATATTATAAATATATAATACATGATTTGAGATGATCGGTAATATTTTTCCAATATTTTTTTTCTAGTTCTACAAATCGATTAATCTCGATGAAACAAGTTTTTGTTATAATAATAATAATAAATGTATACATAACAGTTTTTGTTATGTATACATAATAAACATAATATGAATGTGAATATATATATATATATATTAATCGATTTGACAGCAGCACTGTTACATATAGCCTAATATCAAAGAATAGATGCGCCCAAGTTATTGTGCAATGTAAAACAATATTCAGTGCAAAGTAAAGTGAAAATAACAACGCACAATTTTATAAAATAACTAATAGCTAAAATAACTTTAAAATATTTTTTTTGATAATGTAAAGGCTTAATAATATTGGAAAATATATAAAAGTAATGATTTTGCTGAAAAATGTATTATAATTAAGATTTAAATAGGCAAAATATGTATTTTAGGCCCAAAATTATAAATTGTATTTTATTAAATTAATATGATTTTATATATATATATATATATATATATAACTGTAAATTTTAAACAAATTAAAATAACAATTATGCATTTATTTAATAAAATGATTAAACTTATTTTTATTTTGTAATTTTACATTATTTTTTTTTAACTTATGATATTGGGATGAAGGGTGTTCCCACTAAATCCTATTTATAGATTATGATTTTAAATTCCAATCAAATACATAACAAGAAAGTGTGTGGTTTTGGAGTTATGACAAGAACTAAATTTATTCACCTCTTTCTAGTAAAATCTAGACTATGTTTCAAACAACTTTACCTTGCAATTTCTTTCAAACAAATTTTAAAACGACAGAAACAGTTAACAGTAAAAATGAAACCTTCTAATGTGCAAAAACAGCAAATTTAATGTTTCAGTCTTGAACTTTTCATCATGCTGTTTTCACTGACTAACCGCTGTTTTTTTTTTTTTTTAATAGTCAGCTACATTTAACCAAAGTCCAGGACCCAATACGGGATTCAGTTTCACTGACACTAAATAAAAAAATACCATTCCAGGAAAAATCACATACATAAGGTATTATACATAATCTGAAAAGATTTAAAGAGTGTTGGTGTGCTGCAAAAGCTGCACTGAAATACATTCATTGCATTCACATCTGTCTTTAACAAAGGCCATTTCATTCACAAAACATTTGCAACCAATCACACAACCATTCCATCAAAAGGCTCACTTCATCCATTGCAATCACAAAAAATAAAATAAAAAAATCTAGGTATCTGATCCATTGACAGTAAGTAAATACTCCCAAAACAGAAGCTGCCATTTTGCGAGAAAATATTAATCTAAATTGACAAGAACTGCCAGAGATTGTGGGCTATAATTAATACCAAATTCTATTAAAAACCTTGCTATTAAACTACAAATTTCTCAGTTCAAGATCACCGGTGTCTAATTTCCTCCTGAACCATTGGTTAGCTGTAACTAGGGATGCAAAATACATCAGCATTTTTTAAGTTATCAGTATCGACCAGATAAAAAAAAAAGTGCCAATATCTTAAAGCTGATAAATAATAAATGATTTCTTCAGGTGGCTCTCAAAAATGTCATCAATTTGGGTTTATCGACCAACAAATCAGTTAACGGCTTTGAAATATAAAGTATTATCGGTGCATCCTTAGCTAGAACAATGATAATAAGCTTAAAGTCATAACTGACAAGTAGAAAAAAACAAAAAATCAAGGCCACATGTGAAACTTTCATCCAAACGACAAAGAAAAACCAATTCGAATTGTACTGGTACATAAAAATCATGTATTAATGTCCATGGAAATAAAAACCATTGGGGTGGGGAGGGGTAACACTGAATCAAACGGAAGGTCTACCCTTCAGAGGTAGGTAGAGCTGTACATGATAATCCTAAAACAAAGCAGGATTGCAGGAGAGAGAGAGAGAGAGAGAAAAAAAAAAACAGGGAATATTGCAGATATGCAGTGATTTAAGCTAGTTCATGTGCTGGTGCTACAATTACCGGACATTTCTGAAAGAGAGACAAAGCATTGTTATTTTTTTTTCCACAGAAAAGCAATTTAAAGCACATACAGTATTTTACATTTCATCTATACTTGTATATAAAAACAAACTAAGAACAAAAAAAGTTAAAATCCCTCAAATTAGGACTGACATGAATAAACGGAAGTAAGCGGTCAGTAACTGGAAACCACAAGACAGAGAATCGAGTCGAGATTTACAAACGAGCAATGATGCGTTTCCATATCGGGATGTCGCCGGATTTTGATTACACGTCACCAGAAAGCTAGAGCGAAACGGATAGGCCATTTAATACACATCAAATCTAGAGTAAAAAAAAAAGAATAAAAAGCCAGCTTGTCTACGAAAAAAACACCTCGAACTAAAAAGGAATGCATAATGAATTAAAACCAAAGGGCAAGTTGTGTTTTACAAACTTGACAGGAAAAAATATATATGTACAAATGTTATATATACATATACACACATAGTTGAATGTATATTTTCATGTTCTATATATTTATATTCAACCGTTCATTCTCGTTGAAGTAAGCCAGTGGCCTGGTAGGGCAGAGGGTCCCTTAGAGCACCAAAATGAGTGACGCAAGTCCACTTCTGCACAGCGCTTTACGTTAAAGTCCCAATCAGGCATAGACTCCAGAGCAGAGCAGGACGACCAATCAGAAATCATCTTCTCGTCCATAAATGAGTGTGTGTGTATAGAAAACATATGCATACATCAAGTCATTTGTCTTAAAACATTAGTCCAGAGCCCCCCTCCCTTCCTCCCGCCCGCCCGCCCCACATAAAAGAAAACCCACGTAGGCAAGTCTGTAGTTGAAATCCTTATGGCAAAGAGTTTGTGGCAAATTCTCCTTCCCCCGCAGTGTAAATCCCCCACTGCTTAAAAACAGTCTGCTTGGCAAGAAATGTTCGTTTTCTTGGACATTCAGTCTGGGGGTAGAAGGTCGTGCAGGCGAAATCTCTCTCTTATGTATGGCCGAACGTCCTCGTTCTGGAATAAAAACAACACACAAAAAATACAGTCAACAAAAACAGTTGTACACGACACCTTAAGAGGGCTCAGACTACAGAGTTTCTTAAACCTGCACACCTTTCAAGGTTCGAAAATCGTGACGCATCAATTTTATTACCATTATACCCTTGTTAATTAAATTGAAAAATATTTATAATCAATAGAAAAACGTACACGTAATATTTATAAGGTTCGAAAACCGTGATGCGTCACACACAACTTAAAGTGATCCTCCACTTTTTTTGGAAATAGGCTCATTTTACAACTCCCTCAGATTTAAACAGTTGAGTTTTACCATTTTCAATCAGTTCAGGCTATTTTCTGATATTTAGAAGAATATCACTAACCAGACAGTTTTTGGTCTCATTGACTTCCATAGTTGGAAAAAATATATACTATGGAAGTCAATGAGACCAGAAACTTGTCTGGTTACTGATATTCTTCTAAATATCAGAAAATCGATTTAAAAGCGGTAAAACTCAACTGTTTATCTCTGGGGGAGTTGTAAAATGAGCCTATTTCCAAAAAAAAAAGGAAATGAAAATCCTGAAATTTGGCAATGATAATTAATATATTACAGGTATTTATGCTGAAACCCAGAAAGCCTTTGCTAGCTTTGCTCCATTAAAACCACTATTCATCAACATGCATTGATTAATCCCATGGCATGTAGAAAAAAAAAAAAAAATTACGACCAAATCAAATGCTGGTGCGACCAACTGAGAAAGTTGGTAGCACCAGTTCAACCAGTGGAAAAGTTAGTCTAAAGCCCTGAAAATGTCATTTTTATTATGTAAATTGAGGGAGCAAAATGTATTGGCTTCAAATATCAGCTCAAGAAAATCGGCAGCCCGTATCGGTCATCGACTATGGGAAAAAATAAAAAAAATCAGTATTGGCACTAAAAAAAAATCCATATCGGTCGATCCCTAATACACACGTGAGCGTTTGAAAGCAGGAGTCTATCAGCTGATCTCTAATACTGATCTGCTGATAGATGCCTGCTTTTAAATGCACACGTGTAGACAATTTTGAACTTAAGTGCGTGACACCTGAACCCAAAACATACAGAAATTAATCTGACGCAGATCATAAATAATCGTGGAATTACAGACGACAGCCAGTTTCTCAATATGGTTTTGTATGCTTTTTTAAAAATGCTTTAGTAAACACAGAAAAGTTGACTGCTAATAATAAAGTCAAATAAAAACAAGTTTGTGAAAAAACCCTGGTACTATCTAAAAAAAAAAAAACCAAAAACCTGAAAGTGTGTAATTTGAGTTAAAATAATAACTACAACAATTTTTATCATTATACCATTGTTCTTAATTAAATTGAAAATAAATATTCATATCAGTTGAAAAATGTACACGTAATGTTTATAAACAAAACAAAAAATAACTTGCCACCTTGCCACATTTATGTCTTTACTCATTAAACTAAGATAGGATTAAAAATGTAAGGATTTATGATAAGGATTTAAATACAAAAAGCATTTAATTTTCTAGAGGGAAAAAAAAAAACCCCTACCATGCCTTCAATAAAAAGCAGCACACAAAAGACAAGACGCACATACCAGTTCTACCAGCTTCTCCAAAAACGGCACCAGCTTTAAGAGCTCATTGTCATTCTTGTCCACAAACCAACTCTCAATGGGGATCCCATTGGAAAGCTGCAATGAGAGAAGCACATCCTGAGCTTTACATACTAATAACTCAGCACAGACCACATCAGTGAAGGTGAAACCCAAGGCCGGCTTCACAAACCTGGTAGGCAAAAGCCTGAGGAGAGTTGTCTATGATCACCGTCTTGGAGAGATCCCTCCCAAGGATGTTCAGATCTTTGATGTAGTTGCCTTGGACGCATACGCAGTGCTCACGAAACAATCTATGCCTGAGATACCAGGGGAAATACTCACTTTAAACATCATTCAACTTGAGAATTCAGACACATTTGTTCCCATCACACCTCCATAATATTTATGCAGCTGCAATTTAATGCATTTAAAGGGATAGTTCACTTTAAAATTTTTGGTATGTTTACAAGAGGTAAAAACGATATACATACTGTTCGTTTTCTCACACAAACCGCTCGTTTCGTGTCTTAGGCCATCAATGTGTACTTACATTTACGAGTCATTAAATCATGTTTAATTTGGACTTCTCTGTGCATGCTCTTTGAGGTGGTGACCATAGACCTCCATTATATGACCGACAGACAAGAACGGTTTGACCTAAAAATATCAAAATTGAAAATACTGTGGAAACAAAGACGCCTACATCTTGGATGCCCTTGAGGTAAGCTAAAACATTTCAAAAATTAATTTTAAAGTGAACTATCCCTTTAAACTTTACTTTATATATTTATTTTGAAAGAGCACCTGCTTGAGACAAGACACAGAAACAATTTTAAGCAACTGACCTAACCAACTGTTTTTTCGGATCCAGGATGTTCAGCAGCTTGTCAGCATATACCTTCTTGGAAGCAGTGAAGAGTATAATCTGCAGATAATTCAAAATGGTGTCATTAACGCTAGTCAGAGGTGAAAACGGTAGACCACATCATTAGAGTTCAACGACTAGGAATGCATAATTTTCAGCTACCATTTTTTTTTTAGTTCGAAATGGTTTTGAAGGGCCAAAGGTTTGATAAGTGCTTCTCCGATGGCACGTATTATTTTTCAGCATCTATTTTGTGCACACAACGTGGATAAACAGTTAAACATGTCGGTTTAATGTTACACGTTACTAAAAAAAACTTTCGTTTTCTGAAAATTTTATTTTCTGCATTTAGGGAAAACAATAAGAAAATCAAAAACTAAAAGCACTACGCAAAAATTATGATTTTAAAATATATCGTGCAGCCATTGGAAACGGTCTGATAATGCGGTTCATGGATTCTCGTCAGTGGAAAGCACCACTTCCGGTATTTAATCGACACGGGTAAATTGATAGAGGATCTTTAATTTAATCTGGGAATCGTGCAGCCCTAAAATATAAATAAAAATATCAGTTTCCAGAATAAATCAAATCAGTTCATATATATATATATATAAAATATTAGGTACTTTTCATGTGCTGTTCTTTTTTGTTAGCTAATAATTACTTGCATATTTAATAGTTATCTTAACATTGGATTTGAGCCTTTATTGCTTTAGTAAATGAATGGGACACACATTTGCATGTGCTGATTGCTGGGACTTTGCATATGAGCTTCACAACAACCTCAAATAAACAAAATGTTTATTCAAAGATTTCATTAATCATGTCAACTTTATTAAAACAAAATAATAAAAACACCTCACCTCATAAATCTGAGACATGCGTTCCAGGAATTCTCTAAAGAATGGCCGTAACCGGACGTACACCTTTAGGAATAAGAAAGCAAATCACTAACAGAGCTGTGTGCAAAGCTTGTGACAAATGTGAAATCGTTTGAGATGCTTGTTCTGTACCTGGTAAATGACGTCTTGGAAAAGCACAGGGAAGGTCAAAGCTGCATCCTCCAATTCATTGAGGCTGCAGTGGACCAACGTCTCATCCTGGAATAAGACCACAGTGACGGCTTAATCCTTGCATCAAAAAGAGCTCGCATCAAACTACTAAGATCAGAGTTGAATGCAAACGTACCAGATCCAGGACGAGGGAGAACTCGGGCGTGCTCCTGGTTTTCAGGGGGAGTGCAGGCTTACGGGTGAGCTGCTCTTCAGTCAAGGGTGGCACGTGTTTGATAAAGAAATACCTGTAAGATGGAGACGACTTAGCACACAAGCATGTGTCTATATTGAAGTTATTCAGATTTAGAGCATGTTGAAATTAGGCTCACGGGTCGAAAACTTCCCAGTCCTCTTCATAAGTCCCCTCTGGAGGAGGTGATGGCGGGACATCCGGGTAATTGCTGTTGCATCCTACGGCTAACCAAGAAGAGCAAATGTGAGTCTGGTCGTCTTCAGGCAGCGGTACAGCTGGAGAACATGCCAGACACTCACCAGTTAGCGGAGGCATATCAGCCTCTGTGACGATCTCCCCTTCCTCTACCGGCGTGTCCACGAGAGGCAGCGGTCGAGGGTTTAGTGCAGGGTCAAAGGTCAGGTCTCGGCCGTCGGTGGTAGTGCTGGTTGGGGTTTCCTCGAGCTGCTCCATTTCGAGCTGCTTCACGATCTCCTCAGCTTCCACCGCCTGACCCGGAGAATCAGAGCCCGCTGTAGCTGGAGGATGAGGACGGCTCAGATTAACAATGTGATGAAATCAGAAAAAACCCACAAGAAATGCTGCAATTTCATTGGCAAATGGTAAATGTTTCAGTTTGCAACAGGTCTCAGACAGCAGCGATTAGTCTCAATTAGCTCAGAAACGATGCACTTTGAATTTTAGCTCTTAGTTACAGTTCTACTTTATGGGCGTGTTCACACTTCTTGCTTTGGTTCGGTTCATTTGGTCCGGACCAATTATACTTTGTAGCATTTTTAAGGGGTTTTGGTTCATTTTCACACCACACCGATTGCTCTGGTCCGAATCAGTTGATGAAACAAACCAAAATATAGTCACGTGACAACATCCACATTACTCGTTGGCCATATATGTCTTAAACATATTTCCATAACTGCACTTCGATTTGTCAGAATTAACGTGCGTGAAAATTTCAACAGAACTCCTGGAAGTAAACAAAGAGGAAAATACAGCATACAAGAGGAGAATTCACTCCCAAATTTGTATGTTCAGAATCAGCACGAGCTTTATTCTTTCTCAAATCCCCTCATAAACAACAAAGTATAGATGCGATATAAATAAGAAATTCACTGTGCAGTGCGGACAACTTCAGTGTTTATGCCCCATACATGGAATCAGAGTGCCTACTGTATGTAGTGAATGGAAAATCTCTACAGCAAAAGGCAAACCTCTACACGCATTCGGTTTGTTTCTACCATTTATTAGTAATGATTTACACAGTTCACTTCCTACTTACTATATACCTGAGCATTCAGTATTGTGCAATATAGCATACAGAAGGTGATGGACATTTTGGGGGGGGGGGTGCTGCATTTTATCATTTAAACACGTGACTTTTCATGAAAATTCTATAATCCACGATTGCCAACACCATATGACATCATAATATGCAAATTAGATGGGAAAATGTAATCCTTACATAAACTTTGGGTTATCTTTAATATTTCTCTTATTTACAGAAAGTCTCCCTCTTTTATCACTTTTAAGATATAGCCTTTTTAAATTAAGATGTCAAAATCAAACGCTTTAGGAAAAAAACTCTGGCGCCTAAAGGGTTATGAAAAATAAATTAAGAAATGTAGAGAAAATATTTGTTTTAACAGAAGAATAAAACAGTTAAGAAGAATTTTATTCTACATATTCAATCAATCTGGCCCCAGGAATATGTCTAAATAAAATAAATTTGGTCAATATTGATTTTTTCTTTGCTTCATTTTTATTCTCACACATTTTTGTATATCAAGGCGACTGAAAATGTCACTTAGGCACATACATTTTAATCGGCTGACAAGTGCGATCACAGGCCCTTACCGTTTTTGTTGGCGGGTGAGAAGAAGCTAAAAACGGGAGAGAAGATGGTTCCCAGGAGGGTGGTGCGGGGGGGACTGCTCGGGGTGTCTGCCTGCACCTCCAGCTTCCCGTTGGGCTTCACTGGTATACTCTGACCTGTCATAGTATCTGAGCAGAAGAAAAAGAGAAACATTCAACACCAATAGATCGGCACAACCGTTCACAACAAAGGTCATTTACAGACAGAACTCTTAAAAGAAGAGTAGCCTGTGTATCTCAGCACTCCTACCTCCATTGACGGGGCCTTTCCTGCGGGCTTTGGGGTTTGCTCTGCTAGGCAGGTTCCCACCGGTCGGCGTGGATGTGATCAGATTACTGTCCGAATCACAGTCTACACGGCTTCTCTTAGCAGGAGGGCACTGCTCCACCTGACATTAAGAGATACAGCTCAAATCAAACCGCACTTGCGTCACTTTCACACTTTCAAACCACTTTCAAATCCTAACCTTGACAGCATTGCCTCTGATGAACCGTTTGATGGTGGAGAAAATGCCCGTGTCTCGTTTCTGCATCTTGCCGTCGTCGGAGGGCAAAGCGTGTTCCACCTCGGAAAGCTTCCTCTTGGTCTTGGCAGTCCGGGCGGACGGGGGGGCGCTCCGCTGCTGAGATGCCTTACGCACTCTCAGCCTCATTGTCCCAAAAGTCACATGTAAGACTGGAAAAGACAAAACCAGTTCATCAACTGTGAAAAAGGTGCAGAGAGCAGCACTATGCATATTTGCATAAATTTCATTTCAAATGTCAATACCGCTACATTAATAACAGTGAATGCGAGATATTCAGGCTGTTGGGAAATTCCATTCCGGAAATCAGTCATGGCAACTCGAGGAAAACAATCGGATCTCTTCCCTGCTGCCGCTGACAAGAAAGGTCTCCACAGCACCCTACTGCCCGTCTTTAAGAGTGCCACAAAAAGAGGGGGAAACCATCACCCAATCAATGGGGATTTATGTCAGCGCAAACTATTGAAGACTGTAATGGGTTAAAACTGGGGACACCTGGTTGCAAACCTTCACGCTCTTGCGTATGGGATTTGAGAATAGAAACTGGGAACAGATATTTACATAGACGTCAATGACACTACTCCACTATCCTATAAATAAAAGTTGCAAAAGCCCCTATGAAAATATTGCTGTGCAATTATGATTTTGCATTTGATTCATTAAATTAAATATTAGACAAATGACTTAATATTTAAAGGAAATGAGACAATTAAGCCATGTGTATTGGTCTAGATCAGGTACTAGGGATGCAGCGTAGGGCTGTCAAATTAAATTTGAATTTAAAATAAAATCCACATTCGAATGAAAAAATGGTGCATTGAGAATTTAGGTGTGCGTCAGGCAGTCTTATCAGTGGCGAACAAGATGCGCTGATGTGAGTTGTGGTTGCCTTTTAATGTTTTTCTTGGTTTAATGTATTCTAGTTCTTGGTTACATCAAAACCGTGACCGAGCCGTCACACAGAATGGATATATGGATATAATTAGGTTTAAAAAGGGCTTTAGGAAAGGTAAAAATGGCCATATTAGGTCAAAATTAATCAACTGAAACATATTGGAAAAAAATATTTCTGTCACTGCTGTGAACTGACCACCACGCAGAGAATGACCTGAAGAATATCAAAAACTTTAGGAGTCGGCTGTTCAGTCCTAAACCTATCAAAGTACCTACCAAAACAATAAAAACTCAAAAAACAAGCAAAATATCGTCTAGTAATCGTTAAGAGAAAAACCCAGAAAATATTGAGATATAATTTGTCACATCATAGGGCACACCCCTATTGTCAAATAATTTTATTTTACAGTTTAATTGTAATTTACAACAGTAGCCTAATATATTTGTCTTCATCCATGTAATTTAAGCTAAAATATGTTATAATTAATAATAATAACTAAAAAGTTGAGTCAATTTTAAAAAGTCCAGCTACAAAGTTGAAAAAAAGATATTTTATCTATTTACATCCACGTCACGTTACCTTTAACCAACATCAGGAAACCGTGAATGTACAAATATGTTGTTAAATTATTAAAATAGATTAACTTAAAATCTCAGGGGGTAAAAATATTATTATTCTAAGGGGTTCAATTGACAAAAAAAAGTCCAAAAGCACCAGTTTATGGTTGTTTTTGTAAAACTCTAGATAAAAAAGATTCATAATATCATATTCATAATATTATTAGAATATCATAATAATATATGTAGTGCTCCAATACATCCAGGATTCATAAAAAACAATCTATATTTTAAATATTTAGAACAAGCTATTAAACCAATGCATCTTAAATATTTAATCAGATTTAAGGGAAAAAAACAGCAGAGTGTGCTGGTGAGAATTTACACCGTAACAATATGTGTGTGTGTGTGTGCGCATAGAAACACATGTTCTGCTATATCCTACAGTCATACTGATGCGAAATGAATGTAGAAATAAAAGTATTGTTTTTGAATGATTTTATGTGTTCATAAAACCATTGGTATGTGCCGTGGAAACAAACTAGTGGAAGTCTTGAGATGTGCTGAAGTGGGCGGGGGTGAATCATGTCGTCTCCTCTGCTTGTTGAATCTAAACAAATGTAGCTTGCCATTAGCCTGCCGGTAATTTCTAGCACATTTCCGTGATGTAAAACTTGTTACGTTTATGAGCCAACACAATACACCACTAAAAATATTAGCTACTTGAGTATTTTTAGCCAGTTCGCGCCTCCAATCTGTATTATAAAGCTAAAAATGGTCGCGCACAAGTTAGCAAGCAGCCAATCGGTTTTAACATCAAAGCAAAAAAATAAAATTAAAAATTCGCCAGAGCAGTCATCCGTAAAACTGCAACACAGATTTCAAGCTACCCACGTAGATTTTCGTCTCAATAACACATTTTATTTTGATGGGAATATTTGAGCACGAGTGTGTTTTAACGACTAGCGCTAACAGATGACTTGTTGGCTGTCTCGCGACACCCGCGCTCTGCGTCTCGTTGCTCCAGCGAAACGAGCCTTTTTCACACTGTAAACACGCACGGAAAAAGAGACGTTTTTAATTGATCCTACGACGTTATATTTATAAGTTAGTATATATATAAATGCCGTATACAACATTAGCACTGCTCCGTCTTCATCATCTGCATGAAGAACATATTCTCACACAAGGAGGGGGCGAGTCGTGAAGACGCGAGATTTCAAAGCACTGCGACCGTGGCGTAGGGTTAAATATTTATTTTTGCCTGTGATGATCAAAATTATGTTCGCTAAAACACTTACATGCCAGGGGTCGCGACGACACGATCCAGAGATGGTTGTGGATCTGGCCACGGCAGCTGAAGCGGCCCGGGCGAGTGTCTGTCGGTCGCTTCTCTGGCCGAGAGTGAGTCACTGAGCGACAGATAGATCTGATACAGCTGCTCGGGACGCCATTTCCCGCCTCCTCTCAGAGGGATTCTTGTGAAGAACCCGGATGATGCTGTGTTTACCGCGCATGCGCACCGATACTGGCGGAAAGAAGCGGCGAAATGTCAAACTTACAGGATAGATAGGGAAATCTATCTATCTATCTATCTGTCTGTCTGTCTGTCTGTCTGTCTGTCGGTCAGTCTAGAAACCTGACAGTCTGTCTAATTATTCAAGAGTCAAAATACAAACTTCATAAAGAACCTGTTCTTTATTTTCACATTTTAAAAATGCTTTCTGCATGATATGACTAGGACAGCTCACAAGTATGGAGTCAAAGTAGGGCCATATATATCTGCAAAATAAAACAATGTTTCGCAAAAAAAATATATGTTTTGCAAATAAAAACAAATGTTTTGCAAAAAAAAATATATGTTTTGCAAATAAAAAAAATGTGGTGCAAATAAAAGTAGAGTATTGAGGAAAAAATTATTTTTTGCAAGTAAAAAAAATAATTGCAAAAGAAAAGTTGACCAATGGGGGAAAAAATAAAGTTTAGCAAAGTAAAACTTTAGCAGCATTGACTTTGCAACACATACTTCCCTTTGCGCCGCTCCTTTAAATCCGCGTTTCAGTCATCCGTGCCTCTGCGGCGCACGCTTTGCTTTACGCTTCCTTTTTCTTTGCACCTCGCTTTGTGTCCCTGGTTTGACGTGGGGGCGGGGTCAAGAGGTTGGGGTGTGTACAACATAGACATCATATAGGTAGACGCCCTATCGACCGCTACTGCCTATTAGCACGGACGAGAATTGGAGCCGCCATCTTAAACCGGTCATCCGCTCCGCTCAGTGTAATCTGAATAGCAGGTGAAATGAGCTGTCAGCGCATTAAATTAATCATATCTCACTGAATACTGAACTGATTTTCACGGGGGTTTTTTGCTGCAAAGGTCATACATGTAGCTATGATACAGGACACATGGTTCGGCGTATTTTAATATCCATTGTAGGTTAACAGTAATATAATATTCTCATATAAGATATAAAGTGACCAGACACAATATATGTGATGAAGGATATAATGTATTTTATAATTTACACACTATAAATATAATAAAGAAGCAGAAACAGATAGTAGCAGTAAAGTAAGATATTTTAATAAGTTGAAGAAACAGTTTATGATTGACACACGCACATACACACGCACACACGAACAGACACACACACACACACACACACACACTCTCTCTCTCTCTCTCTCTCTCTCTCTCTCTCTCTCTCTCTCTCTCTCACACACACACACAGAACGCAGCCACCTGTAATAAAAATTGAGAAGAAGCTTTTCAACGTGTTTGCATCAGTAACGTTAATTTCTAAAAATTAAATTCGGACAACATTAAGCCTATACCTTTTTTATTGTATGTGGATGTAGGAGGGGAAAATGTCGAGACTAAAGCCCTATCGGATTAACTTTATAAGGGTAGATGGGGTAAGTTAATGTAATTTTACCACAGGACTTCTGTAATATCAATAGCCAAATCGCATGTGGTAAGATATAGGTTATCAATAAAACTAGAAGTTGGAGAGGTAACTCAATTTGCGCATCGCTGTCATGCGTGTAGGCTATATTACGTTGCTTTCTGATGTGCGCAAACACAAACCTATACAACAGGGCAGTTAAATGCTTATCTGACAACCTAGAAGCTCTTGTAATTATTACTTTAACAGTTACCCCACCTCTCCATGCCGAGTGAACACCGGCTGATGCAGTAAACAGCATTTCACAACGATTTCAGTACAGTAATAGCAAATATCCTTGCTCCTTCTCGATTATCTGGCAATATTCTATTCACAAAATACAACCAATAGTGCGGTAATGTTAAGACTTACTTGTGAAAAGCCCTATTTTCGGTGGCCCGGCGATTAGAACAGGAAAATGCTCCACAGTGCTCTGGCATCTTATCTGCTGCCACGCAACGAGACTAGGAAGACGACCGGCTCAAGATGGCGGCCGGATTTCTCGTTTTCCAGCGGCCAATAGGGTATCTAGTCTCTATATGATATCTATGCTTGTACACACCCCAACCTCTTGACCCCGCCCCCCACGTCAAATCAGGGACACAAAGCGAGGTGCAAAGAAAAAGGAAGCGCAAAGGAAAGCGTGCGCCGCAGAGGCACGGATGACTGAAACGCGGATTTAAAGGAGCGGCGCAAAGGTTGCAAAGTCAATGCTGCTGAAGTTTTACTTTGCTAAACTTTATTTTTCCCCCATTGGTTAACTTTTCTTTTGCAATTATTTTTTTTACTTGCAAAAAAGCATTTTTCGTCAATACTCTACTTTTATTTGCAAAACATTTTTTTTTTTTTTGCAAAACATATTTTTTTTTTGTTGCAAAACATTTTTTTTATTTGCAAAACATATATATTTTTTGCAAAACATTTTTTTATTTGCAAAACATATTTTTTTTTTTGCAAAACATTGTTTTATTTTGCAGATATATATGACCCTATATTTACTCCATACACAAGTAGTTAATGTATTTACATGGATGCTGTAGCCAAAACTATTTTATAGCACTGTAATTAGAAATTGTTCAAAGCTAGCAAACTATATTTTATAGCAGGCATCTGTGGATATTAATGTGTGCAAGTCAAGCACCAACAAACAGGAATTCGTTAACAATTGGGAAAAAATACATTTTTGATCTGTTCCCTTTAAAGGTTTGTTCTATTTCATTCCCAAATGCATGATAGTCCGGTATGGTCCTGGGCCTCCCCAAAAACCCCTTAAGGAAGAAAAACAAAAAAGAAAGAGAAAAAATGTCAGGCTTATAATCAAAAGGGTAAGTTGAGATCAGTACTAGATCAGCAGTACTCACTTGAGAAGTCCATGCCAATACAAGTGAGGCATGACATCAGCTTTCATGTAGTACATGACCCTGCTCTCTTTACTCTGGTCCACAGGGAACGTCTCCAGCGGCTGCCCGTCATAATCAAATTCTGCCAAGATGACTGTGTTGTAGTTTGTAACCAGAGGGCATGAGGTGTAGCCATCATACTGCAACATGCACAAAACAATTAGCATTTATTATTAATAATTAGTTTGCAATAAGTCATATTTAGCTATTTAGAATGATGACCTTTTTTATTAGTATTTCCTTAATCCAATGAATGTATGAATATATGCATTATTTATGTACTTGTTACTTGTATGTGTAGTTATTTAAGAAAAAAAATATATTTTTGGAACAGCATACCATCATTCTAGTTGTACTATTTCTATATAGGCATGGAACTGAAACAGTTGAGTTTAACCGTTTTCGAATCCATTCAGCCGATTTTCTGATATTTAGAAGAATATCAGTAATCAGACAGTTTCTGGTCTCATTGACTTCAGTCAATGAGACCAGAAACTGTCTGGTTACTGATATTCTTCTTAAAATCAGAAAATCGGCTGAATAGATTCGAAAACGGTAAAACTCAACTGTTTAACTCTGGGGAAGTTGTAAACTGAGCCCATTTCCAAAAAAGTGGAGTGTCCCTTTAAAGAGTAATATATTGGTGCTGGGTTGACGTACTTTTGTGGCCCAAAACCCAGAAACTGGTTCCATCGTCCCAAAGTCAATGTTTTTTTTTTGTTTTTTTTTTCAGTGATATAAAATACACCAGTAAAACCCTCTTGGGTTATTTACAGCTTTTATTTGTCTTGTAAAAGGCGGTTGCTAACAAATATCTTAAATGGGAGTACAGAACCTGTTGGGGACATTAAACGTCATCAGTCAAACAAGTGAACTCATTTAATCACTAGTCTGCTTTCACAGCCTCGTTGTGTTTATAATTGGGCTCTTGCAATCTGTTATAACTCAAACTTTCAGGAGAGTCATGCGACAAAAATATACTTCACCGCACCAATCTATATTAGGATTGGATCCATGTTAGACTCAAAGCCAGTATCCAGGTTGATTATGTTATTGTTTATTTTAACACTGCGCCCCCTGGAGGTGTTCATTTGGATAACACAGGAAATAGAGATAGCACAGTATTGCACTTCCACAGAGGCAAAGCACATTGATGTTTATCCTCAAACATACTTACTGCCTTATCCGGCGTCTGCTTCTTCAGAACTCTGCTGATAGTTCGGTCGAGTACAGCAGACTGTGCAGCTGCAGAGGATTATAGTCATGTGATTCTCCTGGTCATCTCATTTCAGTGAAACAACTCTCATTACAGAAATCGACTCTAAACGAATGGGAAATCACTTCACAAGAAACTACTAATTGTGGAAAACGGAAAAAAAAACAGGTTCTAGAATCTGTCTAAGAAAAGGTTTAATGAGCAAGGATTTACCTCCTACTTTTCCCAGAGAGCACCACAATAATTACATAATATCAAAAAATGGATAGTTTTACCTACTGCTGCTGCCGTTTTGGACGTGGGTAGATTGGTGCAGTCTCCGATACCAAATACATTGGCATACGTCTTATGTTGAAGGTTGTACTTATTTACATCCAGCCAGCCACCCGCGTCATCCAATGAGGAGCCTTTCAGCGCAGCAGGTGGTCCCATCGGAGGGGTAACGTGGATCATCTCGTACTATGACCAAGATGAAGGGTTCGTGACACACTCAATCTACAGAAAATGTGATGGGTTTTTTTGTGTGTGACAAATTTAACAATTGCTACCTTGAAAACCTCTGTCTCCCCAGGTTTGTCCAGATTCTCAAAAACAGCTTCCTGTTGGTCTGCCCTGACCTCGATGAGGTTCTGCCTGAGGTTTACATTAAGGTCCCGTTTCTTCACAATCTCCCACAAGGCATCTGCATATTTCTTGACCCCAAACAGCACTGGTAAGGAGGTGTTGAAAATAATGTTGGCTTTGGACCTTTTTCCTGTCTAAAAAACAAAAACAAAACATTGTTGAAAAACGTTATCAATTCTTTGATTATGATTGGTCATTTGGAGTCTCAAATGTATTGTGGCGGTAGCATGGTACAGTGATAGTTTTAAGTGTTAATACTATGGTACTAAATGATATTAATTTACCATTGTGTTTAAATGGCTCTACTTCGAATCAT